ACCGGCGAACTCGGGCTGTCGGCCCCTCAGCGTTCGCACGGGGACACAAGACAAAGACACGAAGCATGACTTCGGACTCCTGCGTTCTGTCGGCACCACGGTTTAATCAAAGTCAGCTAAAATGACAAACCCTAAGTACTTTCGAGAGTTAAAAAGCACCAATAATTTATACATGCGATACAAGAGCGTTAGAGAATGAGAACAACCACAATGACAATCACCAACACCATAAGCATTATAAAGAATACATTATTTGAGAATTACTAGCTTGCTGTATTTCAAGTATTTACAATAACTGGTGAGATTTAAATCGTGTTTTAAAGTCAACACTTTCATATAAAAAAGTTCTTTTGTTCATAAACAAACACGGTATGGGAATTTGAAATACATGGCACACCCCTAACCTAAAGGCTCCAAAGTCTGAAAAAAACCAAAGAATCAAACACAAATTACTTCCAAATACAAAATACTTTCAACCCCACTCTTGTGATTCCGTACAGTTACTAGTTAGAATGTTGTTCCTGCAGCAGATGAACCTTGTGGGCATCAATGTAATGAACGACTGAATTTGATAAACTGAGTGTCCCAGAGGAGAAAAAATACTGGCATACTTTACTAATTAGTACAGTTCATTTCTCTCACCCAAGACTGTGATGAATTGCTCAAGCTACAGGGTTAAAAACAAGTCTCCAGCAGTACCAGACCCACTGCTTTCACGTGCTTTCAGTTCACCTTGGTGCAGCAATGTCAGAGCACTGACCTTCCACTGACGTGCATCACGTAAATAAGCCAAACTCCTGTCTTCCCCTCAATGGGAACGACATACTGCTTCTGGCATGTACAGTCATTCCTTTTGGCCTTCCAACTTCTAGACAGACTCCACTCATTACCTATTTTTTCTATTACTTAATATCTTTTTTCTTTTAGCACACTGATCACATGGAAGCAGATATCCTACTTAGTTTCTTACCGAGGTAAAATGAGACAAGCTACTCCTGTACACTTCCACTTACTTTCTGGGAGGTATTAAAAAGAAAATACTGACATTAGTCCCTTATTTATAAAATCCAACCTAAGACAAACTTGAATGTTTCCTAATTTGACACCATGAGGTGCATTTTAATTAGGAATGATTTGGCTTCATAACATTCCTACAGGATGTTCTATCATTCCCTGTTTAGAGATCAGAAATAACCCAACTCAAAGATAGACATGAAGTTATTCAGGAGTCAGCAACAACTTTTCTGTATCATGGGGTGCCCAGCTTTTACTAGAGACCACCTTTCCTGTCCAGGACACGATGCTGGTCTATGCAAGCACATGTGCTCACTTACATCTCTTTTTTTTTTTCTTTTTTTTTTTTTAATGTCTTTTTTTCCTCCCCCCACCTTGTTGTTCCTGTCCCCTGGAGCAGCCTTCCCTCCAGAGCTCAACTGTGCCATTGGGGGTTGGAACTAGATGATCTTAAGGTCCCTTCTAACCCAAACCATTCTATGATTCCACCTCTGTGTCACCACTAAGGGCAGGGTTTTAAGAGAACCGCCTCCCCCAGTTATACCCATATGAACAAAATTAACTTTCCATATAAAAATAATTCTTACTAGTGCTTTGTTAACTATATTATTGCTACTATTTTAAGCCAGCCAGGATGTGTTCAAAATAGGAAATTATCAATTCTACCACAGACATTGTAATTCTTTGTACAACAGACTAGTAACATATAGTTGGGAACACCATCAGGTTGCCCTCTGCAACAACTACACAGAAGATTTAGTAGTTAATCAGCATTTTGAAGTGATAAAAATGGTCTTGCCTCCTGCAAAGAAACAGGCACTGTTCATTGTAGTTCCTACAAGTTCATTGTAGACTTTCCAGAAATACTTCTTTAAAAATTAGAACTTCCATAACCTGACTGGATTCACCCAATTTTTATCCTTAGCTTTAAAATTCAAACACAACCTTGCATGCCTTGAAGCTGATAACACCAATTCTTACCGAACAAGAAATGTTGTATGCATTCATTAAATCTATACAAAGCTTACATTAGACAATCTTACATTACAAATTTACAATCAGTGCAGGAAGAAATGGAAACTTCACTACTAATTTATGAGTAATTTCACTCTTGTAACTAGCACTATCAAATGATCTCACCCTTGCTTTTATCTGTCCAAGCATCCACTCAGAAATACAGCTACAGAATGAATTGTAAAGATTTGCTTCTAATAATTATAATGGCAGGACAGCACTATCTAACCTGAACTGATGTGTGAAAACATTTGAAGATAATTAAAGTAAGTAAGTACTGTACCAGTGTTTTAAGCCAGTATAGAGGAGAAGTTTCAAACCTGCAGAATTAAAATAACAGTCCTCAAATTACTAGCATTGGCAAGTTAATTATACAGAATTACAATAATACAGACTAATAGAAACTTGCTCTAAATGAGTTTGGTGACATACATCATTTCACTGTGAGAGCTAAATTAGGATTTTAGGTAAGAAAATCACATATTGTACATACTCAGCTGGATCACTTTGCAAATTCCCTTGTAATTACTCCTTAAAACATGACCCAATCTACACAAAAGCAACGCGTGCCTCCTTGGTACATTAAAAGATGGGAACCGAACATAAATAGAGGAGACAAAAATCATGCAGGTGGGAGGTTTGTAGCAAATGTGTGGAAGAGAAGGTTGTTGGATAGTCCTACTGACAGTAGTTGAAATTAAACACTGAAGGAAAAGTGAATGATGATATCAGATAGGTACCACAGGAGAAAACCAGGCTGATTTTAAAAGTTTATCAAGAGTATGTGGTGGGAAATGAAGGCTTGTACGTGAGCTTGGAGATGTCCATGTCTGGGAATTTTTGGAACACCCTTATCTTTGGCATGCTGATGCAATTTGCTGAATGTCAGCACAATGACCTGCTGCTGCAGAGGGTAACATGAGCTGGATATGCAGTTGAGATCAGTATGGCGTTACTTAAGCATGGAATTGGATGTTGCCTTTCTCTTTGTGCCTTTTTAAACTTGGGAGAGCTGATCTTCTACATTAGATGCGAAAGCACGGGATGACCATCAGAAATGCTATCACAATATGCAACTACTCCCACTGTCCCTACCCCCAGAATCTGATCCATCACACTGTAAATGTGATTAACCCTACTGAAACCCTTAGGTAAAGAAATTCACAACACCAAGCTGTTCTATATGCTTTGCTGATATAAAGATGAAAACATTAGAACTGCTGTTAAAATTGTATTTAATACAACATTTCAGTGACTGGAAATTACTCCCAGTTCTAAAAAACTGATTACAGGGAAAGAAAGCAATCACACCGTCTCATGTATCTGAAGATGACTTAAAAGATCTTTTTCATTTCCAAACCTCATTAAACAATCAGTACATTTATGGGGCAAATCTGCTGAATGCCTGAAATCCAAATGAGTTTTCAGGTCTTCAATCTGTCCTGTTGAATATTCACAGTATTGACACAAATAAATCCCTTCAGATAAATGAGTGCTTAAATGCTTGCAATATTCCAACATACCTGAAAAGCCCTTCCCACAGTCATCACAAACGTGAGGGAATATTTTGGTGTGTTCAATAGCTACATGCCTGTTGACATTGGTATGCAGCCTGCTCCTAAAGCCACACACTTGGCATACAAAGAAGTTTTTGCATTTGTCAAAACTGATTTTGTTTATAAGGCTGTACTGCCCACGCTCTTTGTTATTATAGCTGTCACTTAACTCTATCAGTCGACACGCGTGTTCGTTCACCACATGGCTATGCAGATCTTCCGGGTCATTTGTTTCATGCTCACAGAACTGACACAAATACTGCTCGTCACAGCTGTGCTCCTGGAAGTGCAGGTACAACTCACTGCTTGAGGAGAACTGCATATCACACTGCTCACACCAATAAAGGTGGTCACTGAAGTGAGTGTCTGCGATGTGCTGACTCAGATTCTCAAATATCACTGTTTTGTAATCGCAGTATTTACAGATGTATGGATCCTCCTCATGTAGTTTTACATGTTCAATGAGCTGCACTTTGCTGGAGAAGCTTTCTTTACAAACTTTACAGACATGAGTGTCTGTGCATGTCTTATGCTTCAGGATCATGTGCTGCTTTAAATCAGAGAAATACTTGCTATTAAACTCACAGAGCTCACATTTGTATAAGCCACTGCTGTTGGCTCTCAGCAAAGGCCATTTCTGTTGAGCTGTGATATTCAAAGCTTGGTTCTTCTCAAATATTTTACAGGTTTCCAGAGGGATTTCCTCTAGGTCCTCAGCTTCTAGCTTTTCAGGAGACACAGTCTGCGTTTCTATATCGTGAACTTCTACAGCATTCACTTCTGTTGTAGAAATTTCTACAGTTTGAATATCTAGAGGTTTCTCTTCGTCTGTAGGGCTGTCATTGAATATAGGTGAATCACATAAGTCTCTGCACATTCCATTATTAGTACCTTTATCTGCAGGACAAAATAGATAATAAAAGCGTAAGGTTAAAAACGCCTGCAAAACACCTCAGTCCATATTTAACTTTTCAGTTAGCTGTAGCAGCTTACAAATGCAAAAAGCAGTTACCTTTCCCCAGCCAATGTTTTATGTTTAACAAGTACAATAATGGAAACTACAAATCCTTCACCTCTTCTGTCAAAGCAAAAAAGTCACAGCAAAAGCCAGCAATGTGCTCTCCGGCTTCCCAGCATCTAAGCTGCAAATACACACTGACCTTTACCTTTATCCTTCTTTTTAGGGTCTGTATAGTGGAACCCCATGTTTGAATGCGACCCACTCCACTGAGAAGTCCCAGCGTGCACTGGACTCCCATCATCGTCTGTGTCCACGCTCTGCGCCGGACTGTGGAATCTACCTGCAAACATAAAAGAAGGATCTTCTTGACATCATTTGTCCATACGAGCATCATCATGATTCTTTGATATAACCACAGATCTTATTTACTCTTTATGCATTTTACTTGCGTAAGTTTGTATACAAATCACATCATAACCTACATTAAAGAAAGTAACAATAAACACCTTAGACATTATTTCCATATGTACATAATAAAAAAATTCCAAAGGTGTCAACTCTGTCTTTAAAATTTCAGCAAAAATTAGTCAGTTGATTATACTGGAAAAAACTTAAAATCCTTCAATGAAACTTTACATTTACATTTGAAAGACACAATTAAAAAAACATGTTCTTAAATATTTCTGGACACGACATTTTAAAATATAACACTTTAAGACCTCTGGAGACTTGCTCACTAAATTATTAGATTAAAAATAAATATAATAAATATAATATTTTATTCATTCTACTTTGAAAAATTTATTTCAATTATAATGACTAAACAGACTTCCCCCAGTTTGAGGCATATCAGATCACAACGATGCTCAGAAGTCACCCATGATGTATTTTGTGTTCTGTGAACTTTTAAGGAATAGGAGTGTGACTCACATAGTAAAGAAATGTCTAAGATCCCAACACGTAGTCTTACCTCTGTTTTCAGAAAACTTTGTATCTGGCTGTTTTATAGAGCAGACACTGTAGCAGTGGTCAGAAAAAATGCCACTGTTGTCTATGTATTTGCTTGCACCTGAAGAATCTGAAACAAACAAGAAGAGGTTTTAATGCTAATGCATTGATGTAGCTACATATATATTGAACGCTCAGCAAAATTCTCTTCACAAGCCACACATCTTCTACCGAGGTAGGTAGAACTCAATACATTTGGACCACAACTTCTTGTCCCACCCTTTACGTTATTGATTTTCCATGTATTAGCACGTGTGGTCCATTCTCACTAAATAATTAGCCTGAAAAAAGCCTACATAATTCAAGCTCTAGACTGACCTGAATATCGAGAAGGATGTAGAGTCTTCCTTTTCCTCTTTTTAGGATGCTCATTCATTTTGAATAGTCTAAATGGATTGTAAAGTAAAAATATTCAAGAGTTAGACTTGTTTGTATTTGGTTTATCTTTCATGACTTTATGAAACAATACTGTTGAAAACCTGCACATTAAATACAAGAGCTTTGTTCCTGCTCTCCTTTTTTGCAACCCTCCTCCCCCCTGCCCTATCTTTTTAGTTAAGAACACAACTACTGAAGTCTAATTTCATATTCCTGCCCTGGAACAAAAGAAGGTTCACCATAAAGCCAAACAGGTCAGGACTCCAAGCACTTAAGAACTCAATGTAACTTACAAGGCAGCTCTCCAACACTCTGTTGCCTTTTGTCAGAGAGCACATATTCTGAGGGAGAGTGCTTCAGATAAAACTTTAATGTTGAAAACACCCAAAAAGTCATGCTCTTACCAAAAAATCCTAGACTCTTCAGTAGGAGCAAGCAGAACAGCTAAGAAGCTGTTGGCTGTAGAGCTTCCAAACATAGCAAATGCATCAGCTTGAGGAGATTTTCATCTATGGAGTGACAGCATTTTAGAACACATTAAAACTTCAGCACAAGATAAAAAACCACAATCAGATGCACAACTATTACAAAGAATGAAGCTATGGAAATTGAAGCTAGAAAACAACATAAAAAGTTGGTATTAATTTTAGTTTAGAGTATCAAAATAAGAAAGGTAGAGGCATTATTTATTTTACTTTGGTCCCAGCTTAGTCTGTTTCCGCTGCACTTGGCAGCTCCTGACAACAGAAAATACTTGGAGATGACACCAAAAGTACTTAAGCTACATAGTTTTTTATTTTGTATTTGGACCTATTACATTTAGGTCTAAATAATTCTGAAGAAGAAAGGGCTGCAAGCATAGAAACTGATGTGGTTTGCACGGAAGCACTCGCGCCTAGGATCTTGTGAAGCCAATGCCATCCACCCGGGGATGGAAGCAGGGAGAAACAGCCCCTCATCAAGCAAATGCAGTTCTCCCGAGATGATGTAATTTGTCTGAATTCAGATTTTATTTAAAGGGGAGAATTACATGGAAAAAACTTTTCTTTTTAACGTTTTATTGTGGTGTGGAAATATCAAGTACTCTCGTCACTTTTTCTGACTGCGAGGGAAGATCCTACAGAGGCAGCAGGGTTTAGCCCAATTACCGCCGCTAACCTTCATCCCTGGTAAACCTTTTCCCCACGGATCGGGCCGAGGGACGGTAGCGCCTGTTGTTCTCCAGCGGCTTTCCCCGCTAAACCTTTCCCGGCGGCTTGGCGCGGCTACGAGAAAGGCTCAACAAGGCCCCAAGCATCGAG